TAAGATGCTGAGCTTGTCAATCAGAAAAGTCGGCAGTTTGACAGTTCAAATCCCTAGCGCAGCAGGTTGGACTCCCATTACTTGTCCCAGCTTCTGCCAACCTAGCAATTTGAAAGCACATAAAAATGCAAGTAGAAAAATAGGAACCACCTTTGGTGGGAAGGTAACAGCATTCTGTGCTCCTTCAGTGTTTAGTCATGCCAGTCACATGACCATGGAGATGTCTTCAGACAGCTCTGGCTCTTCGGCTTTGAAACAGAGATGAGCACTGCCCCCTAGAGTTGGGAATGACTAGCACATATGTGCGAGGGGAACCTTATAAAATTCCTAATCAGCTGGGGAAGAAGACCAATGTTTCATTTCTCCAGTTGAAACAAGAGTATTTGGAGTGGAAAACAGAGCTGTTTAGTTTCCAGACTGCTAATATGATCAGAAAATCCTATCCTAAATCGAAGCAACGAAGTGGGCCTCAAAAATGGGATGTTTCCACTTGGAACCAATGAAGATTTAAAATGTTTTCCATGCTATGAGTTGCAAAATATTACATCAATTTGCATAGCCTAACACTTACCAAAATCCTTTTCAAATGCATATTAAAAAAGTCTTCAATTGCATCATTATATCCACCATCTTGATTTTTTGGACAAATCCTCCCATGGCCATTTCAGATATGATTATTAAATAATAATGTCACTGTCTGTCAAGAGATGGGCTGGGCAGTTCCTAAATGTAATAAATAAATCAAGACAGACCTGCAAAATACTTGCCACAATCAAAGCAGTGAAAAAAATATCTCTCTCATTCATTTGCTTATTTAATATCTTGGAAAATTATTTTAAAGCATAGAGCAAAACTTGAAAATGATATATTCGAGTTTAAAAATAGGAAAAAAATTAATAAAAATACCATTCCTACAGAGAAATCTTAGATCTTAAATATTTTTAACAGGGACTTAAAAGATATAATTGCGAATCCCTCACCAATGTTAAGATACGGGATATCTCCAAGTGTAGGAGTACAGAGGTTGGATTCAGCAGGTTCTGACTCGTTCTGGAGAACCGGTAGCGGAAATTTTGAGTAGTTTGGAGAACGGGTAAATACCACCTCTGACTGGCCCCGCCCCCATCTATTCTCTGCCTCCCGAGTTCCAGCAGGTCGGGAGGGAATGGAGAGTTTACAGTATCCTTCTCCTGCCACGCCCATCAAGCCACACCCACAGAACCGGTAGCAAAAAAATTTGAATCCCACTACTGTTTATGTACACACTATTACAGTATGTATATATTGTACTATATTCAGTATATGAATATATGAAATGAGTGACTGCATAAATTTACCAAACAAACAAATAAATATTTTCTTATACCTTTCTTGAGTTATAGAAATTTAAGTTTTCCCCATGAAGAATTCAGGGACTCCTCGACTTACAACGAATTGATTACTAACCATTCAAAGTTCCAGTGGCCCTACTTCCGGGGTACTTATGATCCAGATTTGAAGTTCCAACAGTTTCCCATTCTTTGGTCACATGACCACACTTCATTCAGCAACTGAGCTGCATTTAGAGCCGAGGTGGCGCAGTGGTTAGGGTGCAGTACTGCAGGCCACTTCAGCTGACTGCTATCTGCAGTTCAGCGGTTCAAATCTCACCGGCTCAAGGTTGACTGAGCCTTCCATCCTTCCAAGGTGGGTGAAATGAGGACCCAGACTGTGGGGGCAATATGCTGACTCTGTAAACCGCTTAGAGAGGGCTGAAAGCCCTATGAAGCAGTATATAAGTCTAACTGCTATTGCTAACTGCTATTGCTATTATTGCCATTTGCAACATCCTGCAACATCACATGACAATGTTTTAGGACAGTTTTGCCAAAAATCAGCATTGCTTCCATTATGGGGCATAATCACACGCATAATGAACCACCATTGGTTCTCATAACAACTGTGCTGTTCGCTTAACAACTGCCACAAAAGGTTATAAAATTGGATCGGTCACATGACATAACTCGGGGACTTCCAGTGTAGGAAATAAACTTTGCTTTGAGAGATTCCAACTATTTTTTTATGCTCTCTGCTTCTTCCAGGGATATCTGAGGAGAGGTTATCATTCCCAGATTTGTTGAAGCAAATTTTCTCTTAAGAGTCAAGGCAAAAGATACCTTTAGTGGTTTATGACAACGACAAAGTATTTCGTTGTCAACACAGACACACTAAATGTCTTTATGCAGTTTGGGCCATGCATCTATGGTGGCTGGCAACCAGTTTGAGTGGCTTGGGAAGGTATTTGCTGGAAGGAGGATATTTTCCTTTTCTCCATAGTAAAAGAGGAAAAGGGAGTTTTTTTACATTATTTTTCTATATGATCTCCCATGAATTCTTATTTTGCAAACCACTGGAGCCAGTTTTGTGTAACTGTTGGGTATTTCTGACATGATCAACTTTTCATTAAGAAAACTGGGGGGGGGGGAGGAGATGATGAGGTGGTCAAAAACATTGTGTCCTAGCTGTGTCCTTGAATTGCTGAAAGCTGTTATTATCTCAAACCTGTAGGTGTTAAAGAAAGATGACAATGTTCCCTGGTCTGGAACTCTGGCTGTGGTGCAATCATACGTTACTCATAAAACAGGTATGTGCTGAAGTGATTGATTATTAGATAGAGTTTCTCAAATGTCAGCAGCTTGAAAATTGAAGTCACCCCAGGGGTGGATTGTAAACATCTCCAAAGGCATGTGCCCATCTAAATGTAACAGGAATTGTTAGACTAGAACTTTCACCCAACAGCTGTTCGTAACACAATTTACACTGGAGGCAAAACTATTTCGAAAGAGAGAGAGAGACAGACAAGACAGTGGGGGAATTCAGATGTCTTCCTAACTTATTTATTTGAAAACATTTTGGCTCATTTTTACTTTAATTCTCATCTTTTGCACTTTCCAGACATTTTTAGATGTTGTCTTTTAGAATCCTAAAAGGTGACAGCATATACATGTATATAGATCAATCAGTCAGCAACCTGAAATTGGGAAATCTCTTTGCCAACAATGGAATGGATCATTTATACATGTAGCCCTCGCTTCACGACTGCTCCATTTATTGACCATTCAAAATTAGGATGATGCTGGAAAGTTGATTGAATCTGGGACTGTTGCAGCCTCCCTGCGGTCACATTATTGTGATTGGCAACTGGCACACATTTGTGATGGTTGCAGCGTCCCACAATCACGTGATTGCCATTTGCAAGCTTCACAACTGGCTTCTGATAAGAAAAGTGATGCTGCACTTAATGCCTGTGGGTGATTTGTGATTAACAATCTCGGCAGAACTAGAGTTGTGATTTGGGCTTGGTATTGTGATGTTTCACTTAATGACATGCCACTCACCAACAGTTGCCAATCCCAATGGCAGCTGGTAAGTAAGGACTACTTTGTATTCTCTTGTTGATGTCATTGCAGCCACTGAATTGTATGGGAAAAAATATGGGTTAATTGAAGGATCTAAGAGTCTTGTTTATATAGACTCTTATATATTGGGAGTATATTGTCTCTGCATGCAAAAGGGGACACTGGATTGAGATCTGACATTTTCTTGTTCCTATCATATTGTTGGTCTTCTAGCCATATTGAAAAGCGGAGCAAATTCACGCAAATAAAATGTTAAAAAGTTATGATATGTATGCAGTTACTTACCAAGCACATCTAGATCATATTAAAGTAACCAAAATATCTTTACAATCCCCAAGACATGTTACAACTTTTGAGCACCCCCAATGTTCGGAAATTTGAAAGTTGAAAAATTTGACACGCCCTAAATAGTAATTAGCTTCTAGCCATATTGAAAAGCTGAGCTGATTGACATCATATAGTAATTAGCTAAGCTTCTTTAGGGACGCGGTGGCTCAGTGGCTAAAACGCTGAGCTTGTCGATCAGAAAGGTCGGCGGTTCGAATCCTCAGTGGCTAAGACGCTGAGCTTGTCGATCAGAAAGGTCGGCAGTTCGGCGGTTCGAATCCTAGCGCAACGTAACGGAGTGAGCTCCCGTTACTTGTCCCAGCTTCTGCCAACCTAGCAATTCAAAAGCACATAAAAATGCAAGTAGAAAAATAGGGACCACCTTTGGTGGGAAGGTAACAGCATTCTGTGTGCCTTCAGTGTTTAGTCATGCCAGCCACATGACCACGGAGACTTCTTTGGTGGGAAGGTAACAGCGTTCCATGCGCCTTTGGCGTTTAGTCATGCTGGCCACATGACCACGCAAACGTCTTCAGACAGTGCTGGCTCTTCATCTTTGAGATGGAGATAAGCACTGCCCCCTAGAGTCGGGAACGACTAGCACATACGTGTGAGGGGAACCTTTACCTTTATCATTCTGAGGAAACAAAGATAGATGACTATCTTTTTTGTAACAATGTTTCATACACCTTCGGCATTTAGTCATGCTGGCCACATGGCCACGGAGACGTCTTCGGGCAATGCTGGCTTTTGGGCTTTGAAATGGAGATGAGCATCGCCCCCTAAAATTGGGAACAACTAGCACATATGTATGAGGGGAACCTTTACCTAAGCTTCTTTACCTGTGGTAGAACCATTTCTCATTGGAGAGAACTCCAGCCTTGTCCCTTCTCCAGAACAATACTCATCCTTCTCTGGGTTTTGGAGGATGGGGATAGTCCTATCTTGGCTGGCTGGCAGGTAGGAAAAGCTGGCAAACATATGAAATAGGCTTGACTCGAGTCAAGAAAGATCATGTTAAAGTGGGAAGGCCATTGCCTCTTCTGCATCACCCATACTTGCTGCCCCAAGGACCTGTCCAGATGCATTTGCTTAACTGCTGTGTTTGGTAGAAAGTCTCATTATCTTCATTGCTTCTGTGTCTTTTTCAGTCAAAGAAGAAGAGAAAAGGAGGCTATTAAAGACGAGCAGTGAATTAAGAGCAGAACACAGACAGCTGGAGGAAAAAGAATGCTTTCTTAATAATGCAATGAAGGTATAATTCCCAATTTGTTTCTTAACTCAAGGCCCACACAGGAGACAAAGAGACATATGGAAAGGTTTCTCTGAATTTCCGGCAAGCTAAAAGATGGTACCCAAAGACATTCTCCTTCAAGAGCAATTTTAAGAAAACAAGACTTTATGGTTAATTGTCCTTTAAGCCCCATTATGTCATTAGGCGTTCAATTCCACCATTGACTTCTTCACAGCCTCTCCTTATCATTCAAAGCATGATCACTGTAACAATATTTCACGTGTCTGAATTTAGGAAGATGCCAATCCAGTAGCATTAGATCAAATGTTGCAATACAACAGCATGGCTAACAGGTTAAAAAAAAATAAGGCGTTTGCCAGTCATGCTGGTTACTCCATCAACAGGCCATTGACGATTACTTGGCTGTAAAATACTTCTTTAAGACACATACACGCTTCCCTTTCCTAACCTTAAAGCCCTGGTTTCTTATTAGTCTGTCTACTAAGCAGATTACTGGTATTCCTCAATTTATAACTGATGGTTCAGAGTTAAAATGGCACTGAAAAAAGTGTCTTATGGCTGGTTGTCAGACTTATAATCATCCTAATGTAACCACACACATTCCTCAGTCATTCGTGGCATCATATCAACTTTGTCTGGGCCAATCAGGAATGGGTGATCTTCACCGAGACCCATTCTGAATTGGAATGTTCTTATTTCATGCCTTGTTCCTCATCCCAATGGGGACGAAGCCATGTACGGGCTCAAACTATCAGACCAGGAGTGTGATAGTTGTGTTCAGAAAGTTTTTTAAAAATGACCACGTTCATGTGATTGAAATCGCACCCCATGCTACAAATATAAAAAGGGCTGGCGTTTCAATCACATGGTGACATCCATCATTTTCATTTTGCTTCCCCCTCCAGTGCTGCTGTATCACACTTAAATAAATGTGCCCTTTGATGCCGAAAACTATGTCCATTCCAGGAGACATTATAATAGAAATCAGTGGGAATTGCATATCTTTGTAACATGCATGATGTTGTCTAAATGAGAGAGTAAAATTAGAAATTTGGACAGCAGCATATTTGTTCAGATGGGAACTTTGGCTGGTGATTGCAGAAACCGAGTTTGGCATGGGTTAAAAAAGAAACTAATGAAAGCAATTAAAAATATTATGCATCTCATTTCCTGAGCGCTTTTTGAAAATAGAATGAATGAATTGAGAGACAAGATTTAAAGAAAATGAGGAATTAAATTAAAAGGTGCTTGACAAGTGAGAAATACAGAGGAGCTTATGATTCCTACACTTTAGAATTAGAAATTCCTAGGGTACAACATTTCATGTTCGCGTTTATATTAAAAAAAATAAATGAAAGTTATTCAGAGACATTTGGGAACTCCCCCCCCCCATGTTTTGCAATTGTGCAAGTATTTATGCCTGTTTTACAAAAATATTCTCTTTAAAGTAGAATTTAGTTCACATAGCGGAGATGATGACTTCTTGATGATTAAAAAATGTGGATAAGGAATCTTTTGATTTTTGTCTGAGTGGGCAGGACATTCAACTTAAAGGTTGCAAGAAGAAAGTTCAGTCTCAGCACTGCTGTCCACGTTTGATTGCAAGAAGAGATTGGACAACCATTTGTCTGAAACAGTTTAGAGTTTCCTGCTTAAGTGGGAGGCTGGAGTGGAAGATCTCAAGATCCCTTCCAACTCTGTTATTCTAACAAGGCTGGCTCTTTCTTGGACATATGGGCATGACTTTGGACTTCAAGAGAATTGGTTGGTAGGAGTCAGGTGGGGAAGACAGAGAAGCTGGGTTAGTGCCCCTGGGTCATCATGGATGGAGAAACTTGTGGAATATCTCAGCTCTCAGTGAGCAGTTTTCTTTGATCTCTGCTGAATAACTGGACCAGGAGTTGAACTTGGCACTGGACTTCCCTGAGTGACCTCCCTTTGATGGCCAATCAAAGGTGGCTCTCAGGGAGATAAAAGTACCAGAAATGATACCTGGAGTTTTAGATAAAGTGAAAAAGAAACTTGACTGAGCATGTCATCATAGGGATAAGGGAATCAAAGCATTCTTGTGGCTTCTCTTCTATATTATATTGGAGGACTGTTGTTCAGTGGTCTTGTTTAGAATTACAAACTCATTGCTGGGCTGAGATAATTGAAATGAGACGAAATAGGAAAGGGAACGAAAGTCTGTTTTTAAGTACCCTGACTGATATTCTAGCCATAAGGAAGTCACAGAGCTTGGTTGCAAGTCCTCCATGACGTCCATTTGCCGAGGGATGTTTCGATTGTTTCTGGTGGATGACTTCTTACTCTGTCTTTCCCTTTCTAATTTGACAGAAATGCCTAGAGCTCAAAAACAGCCTGTTGGCCCAGCAGAAAGGGGTTCAATCATCGCTGGAACACCTCAAAACTCTCATTAGACTGATACAGAATGAGCAGATGCTTCAGGTTACCATGACAACAACAACCACCTCCTCCTCCTCCCTGCTGACTGTCCCCTGGACCAAATCATCTTCTGCCTCGGCTGCCGCTGCTCCCCAACCCTTGCAGTCGACACAGGGCAACAACTGACAGGGGGCTCCTATCCCCTTGCCCCCCCCCCCATCGGTGGGTTTTCCCCCACACACACACGCAAACACACTTTTCTTCAGAAGAGACCCAACCCAGCCGACAAGAACGCTTTAAGTGCATGCAGGCCTGACGAGAGAAAAAGATGCATCCAGAAAAATAAAAACCTGGGATTGCAAGAAAATGACATTGGTCTTCTTCCATGACCTGAAAAGTTGTGCGGGGCAGAAAATAGTAATAATACTCCCACCATTGAATCCCCCTTGGCAGCTCAGTGTCATTATTTCCTCTTCCCCCCCCCCCATTGCTGGGAATCTCAGTGCTTACAATCCTCCCTTCCCTTCATTTGGTTGATTTGGCCTTAATGTAATTAATGCAGAAAAAGGATGCCACATCTCTGGTCGGTGGAAGACGGGGCGGCCTGGAGAGGCGAAAGGGGCCTGCCTCTGTTTTTGGGGGGCTGCACCTCCTTTGAAGAGGTGCCAAGAAGCTGCCCCTTTGGGAAGAAAAAAAAATAGATTGAAAGGCAAACCCTTAGTGCGCTAGCGCAGATAGATAGTTAGATACAGGCACCGAGAATGGAAAATGGTGACTTTTTCTTATTTAAAAAAAAACAAAAAAAAACCTAGCATAGATTCCTGATTTTTATTAAAAGGATCAAGTGTCGTTTTCATTCAGGGCTATAGAGAAGAGTTACATTTGTGGACACTTTCAGAGCCTTCAAAATCAAATCTTTTTTTTTTCTTTTCAGTATTATAATCGCAGATATTTAAATAAAAATGTATGAACTTTTACCATTTCTAGTGAAATATTGAAGTATTTTCATGCTGAGGCTTCTGTATATGCGTTCTGAAGTATTGAAAAGAGTTAACGCCTGTGAAACCCTTCATTTTAGCGGGTCCTCTTAACTTATTTTGCTATTGATGTATTTTTCTCATTGGGGATGGGTTTTTTTTTGGTGGGGGGGGTTTCTGCAGTTGTTTGAAGTTTAACAATGATAGTAGTGAGAAATATCTTAAATCGGTTGGATCTTTTTAGTTTGGGGGGGGTTTCTTTTCAGGGCTGTCCATAGATAAGGTCAAAAAAGTCAAAATGGCAGCTGGGACGATTGCAATCAGAGCTCATCTGTTTCGTATTGATTGCACTTCATGGCTGCCATTTTGATTTTATTTTTTTTACCTCATTCTGAAGCAGACATGGCTGATTTGGAACCCCTCCTTTTTTTTGTTTTTGGAAGAAAGAAAGCAAATAATATTCATTATTGCTGCTTTTCCTTTTATCAAAACAGTACAAATGATATGCCAAAAAAACTTAACTCTTTTGTACTGCGCTTTTATTGTAAAATAGGAAATGTGGAAAAAAAACGTTGGGTTCCCTTCCTTGCAGAACTATCTGCTAAAATTTACAAGACAGGAAATAAACTGCCTCAAGTGGTCATTTCTTTTATTGGATATATATCAGGAGTTTGTATCTGATTGTGAAAACTTTTTTTTTAATGTTCTTTTTATAATTTTGTTACATTTGAGCACGTGTAAAACATTAGCTTTAGCTTGAGAAGATGCTAGAAAAAAATGCCTCTATTTCATTTGACTTTTCACTAGCTAGTCTTCCTGAAGCAACCAAGCTCAGACTGGGCCCAGTATAGGCCAGACAGCCTATACTGGCGTCTTGAGGCTTAACCTCTCAAGTTCTTGATGGGCAAATGAGTTTCTTGTCAGTGTGGCTTTTTTTTCCATTTTATAGCTCTGTTTCTCCTTTGCTTCCAAAGGATCACCATTTCAGAATTCAAGGGTTGAAGGGGAAATTTAAAGGTGTTTTTTTTTTCCTCTGAGGGAATATAATAAAGATTAAATTGAAAGTAGCAGAGTATTTTAATAGCATTGGTTAAGGTTACTTTTTTTAGCAGAGGAATTGGGGCTGTTTAGGTGTTGTTGTTTGTTTTTAAGGCAGCCTATGGACTCACAGACATGGCCAAAAATATAAGTGCTCCTGAGAAGTAATATAGTCATCCTTGAAGGAAGGGCTCAATGGTGCCCTGAACTCAGCTCTGTCTCTGTGTGCCACAGGTGAGGCTCCTCACCTTTGCCTCTCATACGGTGCCGGAAAAAAGCTATTTTGTTTTTTTGGTGGATTGGAAGCTGCCCCCAGGAAGGCAGCACACAAGCCCTTTTATCCATTTTCACAACTCCGGGAGAAACTGTGCAGTACTATACAAATCTATTTTAATACACTTAACACTCTGTCGAACAAGATTTTTATATTCTTTTATTGATGAACAAAAGTGAACTAAGTGAAAAACACAGTTGCGATACATTGGTTAGGTATATCAAATTTATGCATTTGAACATAGCTTGCAATGTAAATGTTTTGGGGATTTTACGTTTTGTTTTTTTCTTCTTCTCAGATGAATTTAAGAAAAATTAAAAAAATGGGGGGGAAGCATAGAAAGTTTTTTTTTATTATTATTAAGTTGGGAAAACTTTCTGAAAAAGTGCTTTTCTGGGACTCTTAAAAAGTAGTTATTTTGGAAAAGGGACTGTCCCGTGGATAGTGTGCATAGAAAACAAATTGTTTGTCTTAAATATACCAATGTAGTTTACTTCTTTAAGATGAATTAAACTTGACTGACAGATTTAAAACTGGTGTCGTCACTGAGGTGTATTTGTATTTTTCCAACCTTGCATGTGTTTTCTTGTAATTTAAATAAGAATTATTTTGCCATCGTTTCTGTTACCACTGTTCTCTCTACCTTTTTTTTCCTTAGGCCTTTAAGACAAAAAGATCTTCTCTCCAACAGACCTTAAATGAACTTTGCTTTGCACTGTCCTACATTTGCAGGTAGTGGAAGTGACAACAGATGAACTACCAATCATACAAAAATAAACTTTATAAATTAGGCACTTAAAATGTAATAAACAAAATCTATCATGCCTTTTAGTTGTCTTTAATATTTGATTTCTGCTGTTCTCTATGTCAATAATCTTAAAAATAACTTGTCTTTAATCTGCACTATTGCAAAGTAAAATTAGACTTTGTTAAGATTTTGGCACATTAAAAATATCCTTTTTCCCCCTATCATAAACCAAAGCTTTCAAATTCAAAATGCTCTAATTTTACGTCAAACGCTGTTCCAATTTTATTGGAAATATTTGGACATTATTCCAACACTTTCAGAAATGTTCCAGGCTTTTTAAAAATAATCACATCTCAAACCTGGGACGTTTCCAAAAATGGTTAAAATTGTTCTTTTCATAAGTGATTAAAAGTCAACCTAAACACTATGATGTGGAAAATTTGTTAAAAAGGAATAATGGGCTGTACATTAGGAAGATTAAATCTCAGATGAACTGAAACTTCTCAGAACACTTCAAAGCCAGGTTCCCACTGGATGAAATATTGAATTTTTTTGCCATATTTAGATTGCATGGGATTGTGTGCATGGCTGAATTTACCTATTTACTCGGCTTTCTTTTTACCCAATACCAAAAAACCTTTGCCCTCTCAAGAAAAGGCCCTGATTGGAAATAATTTCAGTTGTTGACACCCATTTCAGCATTTTCTCCAATCATCCAAGTGAGAAGCTGGAGGTGCTTAAAAGGGAGCCTACAATAGATCAGATGAGAGCAAATAAAGTGATTACAATCTGTTCTGCACTTCGCTTACAAGTCAAGTGAACTCACACAAAAAGAAGGGGTTGAGAACTCAACATACTGAAATTTATGGAGAATTTGGACATTATGCTAAGAGAAAAGAATCCTGATGTTTGTGTTTTTTCTTCTTATTTTATTTTATTCAAGCCCATTGCTGTCCATTGTGTTAGCTTTTTGCTCACCTGTATTTAAAACAAATCATTTTTTTCTATTTTAGAAAAATTCACAGGAATTCTAGTTCACATAATTCATCTTTCTTTTTTCTTATACTGTCAGGACCTTGAGGTAGGAGTCAAATTACACTTTCATTATGTTGATATGTTGATTGAGAATGGTGTACCTTAAAATGCTTCCTATTTGTTAACATATAGTTAATGCATACAAAGGATTTGAAAAAGAAAATAACTGAATCTGGCATGAAAATATTATGGCTTATTTCTAACATGATTTACCCAAGTCCATTTGTACAAGTTGAAGCATCCAATGATGGTGCACTCCAGATCTTGTACAACTTCGCATTGATTTGATTTGCAACCCCAGGGCTGAGATCTTGTGTTAAATTTGACTTTAGATGTCCTCTTCTACCCCACACAACAGGACAACCTGCCCCCCCCCCCGCAAAAAAACCCCAATAGGAACAGCATTACGTGAGGAACTGAAGCCAGAACAGGTGAGTAATTTTACAGGGAAACACAAACCAAAGTGAAAAAGCAACAAACTATGCAACAAAGAAAGGCATTATTCTGAATGAAATTGCAACCCTTCAGAAAGAAAACTTATTTCTTTTCATCTGCTTCCTTTATTATTCTGATTATAAAATGAAGCCTCCATTTGTAGAGAGACGTAAAGAGATGCCATTTCACTCTTCCCGCAATCTACTTTTACCCAGATAAAGATGATTAAAGATTACATCAACACGGACACCAAGGAGTCTCCAAGACTTTGAAGGTACTGGGAAATTCTGCTGTAAATGATTCAAATTGGTTTCTTTACACTTTCTGAAGAAGAGGCTATTTTCTCAGCCATTGCAAATTTAGGAAGGCTTCAATGCCATCATAAAGAAGCTACAATCTTTGTCTTCATTCTCCTTTTGCCATTTTATCTTGTGTAGTGAAGCAAATTTTAATCCCTGCAGATTTTCACTCAGATTTTTACTCGGAATTGAAGAATGCCAAAGCTGATGTTAGACAAAATAGACATATACTGTTGCACGTCCAAGTTCTGCTAAATCACAGATGATATATTCTGAGGTTTAAATATGCGTCACATAATGTTCAAGTTATCATTGAGGAAAATATGCTCTTTGAGTTTATAGATTTTTTTAAAAGAAAATGCAATGAAGTATTTTTAAAATGTAGGAAATAAGCTGTTATAAGAACGTTGTGCAAGGCAGTGTTTCAGGCTGTTCTATTTTGTACTTTGTACTTTTCTACTTTGTAATAAATCTGGTTTATTATTCAGGAGATATATACAAAACATCCTATATCAGGGGCAGAACAATGTAGTGAATCTAATAAACCCCAATTTTTCTCTGGAGCCCCCTGGAAGACAACAGGGTTAGATCCCTTCCTGCCCCCAAAGATTTACGGTATTCTAGAAAGCTATTTTGGTAGATTAGAACTTTGAGGAAAAACAGGACTATTCCAATATTTTTGCAAGCCATTTGACTCTAAAATTTATAGAACATGTTGCAGATTCCAACATATATTTTTCTTAGTTCTAGTCATTACAAAGCAGAGGGACTGTCATTTTTTCATTCATCCCTTCCTACCACTTTCACAATCTCACTCTTGGCAGAGAACTTGCCATCAGTTACGTAGGAGGAATAGAAGCATTCTGACCAGAAGTTTATTTTGCACAAGGTGTGTTAAATAGAGAGTAAAGTAGTTTACCTTTATAGAACTTGTTCTGCATAAGCCAGATCTTATGCTCTGAGTTGACTTGTGAGAGTGGACTGGATTGCCAGAAACTACAGGGTCATTTTAACAAGTTTTATCAAAGGATGAAAGTTTTACAAGAATGTAAACACTAAATTTCTTCCTATCAGAACCCAGTGGATGATCTCAGTTAATGTTCCTCAACCTTCCCAACTTTGGACATCAACTCCCAGAATTCCCCACTCAACCTTCCCATTATTAATTAGGCCTACAGGTAGTCCTAATTTCTGGTGTAAATCATGACAATTGTAAACCAAGATGCCCACACAACCAGACCTTATTTTATAACTCTTTTTGCAAAGTTGTTAAACAAACATCATGGTTCTTAAATGAACCCTGTGGTCATTGACGTTCATTTGTATGGGTGCTTTTTCCCAGAAACTGTCCAAAAAGGCTGGTAACCAGCTTAAAATATTGTAAATTGCAGTCACATGAGTGCAGAATGCTGAAACTAGCCATAGAGGTGACCTAGTTGATAAGCAGAACGCCCCCTATGGAACCAACCCCTGCCAGTTGAGGCAATTTTCCTCTTTTTTTCTGGACCCAAACCACCAGAGCTAGTTATGGATTTGGTAAAGACTGAATCTCCCTTTATCGGCTAAAATTTTTGCTAAAATTTGTTTACAAAAGAGATACTCTTATTCTTTACTGAAGAGTTTTAATACATTAACTACTGATTTTGTGTTGACTTAAAAATAGTTGACTTAGTCATTACAACTAAACCTATCAGATTATCGAAAACCATTCCTTATACATGCCTTCATTTGTTCACATTCTTAAAACCACAATGATTTAGCTAAAATGCAGCGGCTGTTTTCTGTAGTCTAATTATTATCAGACCCTCTCTTTCCAATGGCATTTGTTGAATGTCGACATTCATTGAACTCTCCAAGCTAAAATTATCCTGCTTAATAAGATGCCATTGATTCAAACGTTTTGTTTATTATCCCCTCATTTAGCATCTGCATCTCTGTCAATATGTTTGTTCTAAAATAAGAGTCTTGCTTCCCTGCTCCTATTCATCAGACTGTGCCAGGAAAGTAAACCTGCTTCCTGATTTGAGTTCAGATAGATTTTCATTTGAGCTCAAGCAACCATTTCTTATACTCCTGGCTGGCACTTTTCTATTTCACATTTTCTCAGGGGTGTATGGATATCACATGTTTTGCCTTTTTAAAAAGTTTTTTATTTTTCATTTTTCAACATATAAACATTCCATCTTTCTTTAAAAAGTGTGTCATCTGGATACAAACATCTCTGTGCAACAGCTTTCAGTATTTACAACAACATCATTCACATGAATATTAATTCTCTAGTCTTAAAATTGTAGTATATTAAACAATTGAACATTATTAACATATTCATTTTTCTCTTAACGTATCTTCTAATAAATAATAACTAAACATAATTATCTTCCTCATAATACTAAGTTATTTATACCTCTATCTTAACATATTTTCTATTCCTCTTTAATCTTCTTTTGTTTCCAATTTCCCTTTTTATTCTCTAACCATTGATAAAATACTTCCCATCATATAATATTCAGTTTGTTCTTTCTCTTTAATTAGTAGTATTAATCTATTCATTTCTGCACATTCTAGTATTTTCCTAATCACCTTCTCATCAATAGGAATCACTTCACTTTTCCAATGTTGTGGAAATACAATTCTAGCTGCAGTTAATGTATGATAATTAAATAGGTATTTTGTTTACTATAAGTTTCAGGTAAAATCCCCAGCAAAAATATTTCTGGTTTTAACTCAATACATTGTTTTATCATCTTTTCCAACCATGTCTTTATTTTTGTCCAATATTTGGACCACATGTTCTGCTTGAATGTCTTGATTCATTCCATATCATGGTGATGTTTTTGAAAAGTACCATATTTTTCAGAATATAAGACGCACTGGAATATAAGACCATGATTTTGAAGAGGTAAATTTTAAGAAAAGGTTTTGCACTGTGCAGGGCTCCCAAACCTTCTGCACACCTTGTTTTTGGCAAAAAAGGTGGGGGTAAGGTAGAGCTTTGGGAGGCTTGTAGAGTGCTCTTGGGGTAAAAAACAGCTGGTTTATTGCTCATTTTTGCCCTCCACAGCCCCCAGGAGCACTTTGCAAGCGTCCCTGTACATGTCCATTTTTGCAAAGGGGGCAGGGTTTCAGTAGGCCAAAAATGTGTATAAGACGTACCCAGATTTTCACCCTCTTTTTTGTGGGAAAAAGGTGCTATTTATACTCCGAAAAATACGGTACTTTATTCTTTTTCAGATTCTCTCTCTCTCTCTCTCTCTCTCTCTCTCTCTCTCTCTCTCTCTGTGTGTGTGTGTGTGTGTGTGTGATATCTTTGTGATCAAAGTTTATTAGAGCTGTCATAAACACCTGACAACATCCAACATGCCTTTCAAAGTCATCAAACATGCAATGCGCCAGAAAGGGGCAAGCACTGCCACATTAAATTATTATTAGATTATTGGTTGCAACAACTTTAGTTGCAATTGTGGCTACCAGATGCTTCCTCTAACTGATGATAAACCACATCAGAGGAGTGAAGAATTACTCTGACTCGGCAATATTTCATAGACTCCTAGGACTTGAAGTAACCATGGAGGTCTTCTAGTCCAACCCCTTGCCCATTCCTGACAAATGGCTGTTCTGAAGCCTAAAGTGCTCTTTTCTGATCTTGCTTCAACATATCAACCAGGTTTACATCTTGACTGTAACGCAGCCATTCCAAAACTCTAGTTTCTTCTTCATCCCTTTTCATTAAATTGGCTTGCCTATCTGGGATCATTTTGGTTGGGAGACCCCATCTTCTTAGTCTGCAGACACATTCTGGCCAAGGAGCGCCTACAAAATGCGAGTAAATTCAGATCTTGATTTGCCCCTTCTCCCTTCTTAAAGGTAAAAGCTCCCCCACACATGCGTGCTAGTCATTCCTGACTCTAGGGGGTGGTGCTCATCTCCGTTTCAAAGCAGAAGAGCCAGCGCTGTCCAAAGACGTCTCCATGGTCATGTGGCCAGCATGACTAAAAGCAGAAGGCGCACAGAATACTGTTACCTTCCCACCAAAGGTGGTCCCTATTTTTCTACTTGCATTTCTACATGCTTTCGAACTGCTAGGTTAGCAGAAGCTGGGACAATAAAGGGAGCTCACTCAGTTATGCAGCACTAGGGATTAGAACCGCTAAACTACCAACCTTTCTGATCGACAAGCTCAGCATTTTACCCACTGAGCCAATGCATCTCCCTTCTTACAATGTGGATAATCACCAGCCTGACCGCAATAAGCCTAGTAACAATAGTTTTCTCTTCAAAACTCTCACAAGAAAATCAACAATACTCTTTTCTGAATCAGAAAAATATTAATCCGTAAACAAGACATCTTTGTTTACAAAGTAATTTATGAAAATATAGCCCACTATCTACCCAACTTGCTCCTAGAACATATATGTCTTAGGAGAAACCGTTCATTGTTTCTAATTTTCCCCCCCTCTAACAGCAGGGACATGTTTTAAAAAGCCACTCTGTCTTTTTCCTTGTCAAGTCTGGCACAGTAAAAGTATTCAATGCCGCCGATTCTCTCTGGAACCTTCTAAAAAAAATCAGACAAATCTTGCAAGCGTTTTAAAGCCCCTGTGGTTTAACTTAACTGCAATATTTACCTCCATTTATGTGCTGTCAGTCACCAGCTTTCAAAGGAAAAGTTTTGATTTTGCATGCTACAATTCCCTTCTTCTTTTTTAATTGTCCTGCGTCCAACTGCACTATGTGTGTTTCTGTAGATTACACCCCCCCCCACCCGTAATCACCTTCTTTTCTGCAATGGAAATGGCCTGAAAATTGCTCTCCGATAATCAGGGATGAGTTTGTCGGGGCCGCCCTGCCTCACAAAAGCTGGAATTGTGCAATTATCATTTGTAAAGAGAAACTGTTATCAAAGTCACTGCGGGGGACATCTCCAGGACTTCTGTTAAGAGTTGGAGAAATCTGAAACACATATTTCTCACACCAGAAATTTTCTTATAAACTCCCCTGAATAATTCATGAGGCTTGATTTAACAGCACATTTAATTCCTGGCATGCGCTGCCTAGAAAACAGAATTCTCTTAAGGTGCAGCCGCCTGGAAGCAAAGGGGCAACGCAGAACTACATTTCTAAATGTTCTTTGAATGCAATTCAAAACTTTTATAATATACTGTGTGTTTGCCGTGCCTAGAATCAGTCCAACCAGCCACTAACACTCTGGGGGGAACACAACAGATGCACATTTCGAATCCCCGTCTTATTCCCAACGAAGCAAAAGAAGTCTTGGTTTATCATTCAATCAGTACTCACAGCTCAGGCATTAATGTCCCTGAAAAACAGACGGCTTGGTGATTTCATGCATTTTTTAAAGGGCTTACAAAGGAGGATGGCCCCAAGGAAGAGAATTGTTTGAGCACTGATGCTGAGCTAAGCAAACGAGGGGCGGTGGGTAGTGCAAAAAAGGCCAGAATTCATGAAAGCGGCTACTGTTTAATAAAAATGCATGAATTAGAAAAGGGGCTGCTAGACTCCTGATATATATTTTTTTGCTCCCATAAACTAACATGGCTCTCCTCCTCCCACACTTGCCTTGTAACATGGGAATTCATCCTGCTTCCTTGCCTAGAAAAGTGTGGGAAGGAGTGGGGTGTGTGTGTGTTCCTTACAGTCCCCAGTCTCTTGATTTTCAAGGCAAACGTTCACCAGGCACCTTTCGCGAACTGAAGATGATGGGATAGAAATCGATCAGCGACTCCACAAAAAGATTTATAGGCACCAAGGTGCTGAAGGACGGAGCATTTTTGGGTGGCCAGATTAAATTCAAGCCAAAGACACAAGCAAGATTAGAACTGGTCATTTTGTTGAAAATAGTTTCCTGCGACACCTGGAGAAAGAAAGACATAGAAATCAGAACAGATACAAACACGTCAAGCAAGGTACAGATTCTGGGCAGAAAGTATTTGAAAAAAAAATCAAAATAAGGTCCATAATTGCCCGAGTGAAGCTGAGCTCTTCTTTTAAATCAACATTGCATACACAATGTACCAAAGCCTTTTTTTCAGTCTGCCCCTGACATTTCAATTCTGAAGCTCATGAAGGAGCAGGTGGCTCTACTGTCCAGTACTATTGCTTTTTAGGCAGCTGGCCAAAACTCTTAAGAAATAAAATAAATATACATAATTGTGTGGGAGAGAGGGTACATAGAGAGTGACTGCATGAACTAATTATACATTTCCAGTTTACTCCAAGTCTGTAATAGCCATTCTATGTTGAAAAGTCTGTTTCAGCATGGCATGGATGTTACAGGCATGAATTCTCTGTTTCTTCTTTATCCACAGGTAGAAGGAAACCTGCTGGAAGAGGAATGGGAATTTGGAGATTGTAGAGGTAAACTTTGACCTGAAATAGTTAGGTGGTCAATCTGGATTCCTGGGCAGGCATTCAGAAAGAAGTCAGAGAAATTGCTCTCTGATGGACTTTTTTTTTGCAAGTAACGTGTTTTTTTTTTGTTACAAATTTTAAATTCTTTTTGTAAACAAAGTGTTGTTTGGCGTTTTTCCCCTTTTACATTCTCTCATATACATCATTTTACATCATAATACCCTTCCTAATTTGAGCCATATTATTTTCTTCCCATATTTCCATCTTAAACTTAATTTTTTTCATAACACATGAACAATATCATTTTTTTGCCCTTTCAGAAGTAAACCAAATTCATCATTTCATTTTTCATCTGTTATTCTATTTTCCATAGGTGGCATAAATCCCCAAATTCAATTTTCATATAATAATCATTTTACTGTTAATTATCCACAGTTAACAATATTAACATAACTATAATTCCCGACCCATGCCCATTAGCTAGCTCTGGCCTGTGCCCTGGCAGACTCCACCCCCCCCCCCAAGCCTGTCTGAGCCATCCGAATCAACTCCCCTGCCCCTCCTTAAAATTTGATTTAAAAACCCATGTAAAAAATCCCTAGGAAGTCTCTTCTTCACACTTGTCCCTTCTTTACTTTTACTCTCCCCAAAACTAGGGAGGGACTTCTGAGACCCTCCTTTCTGCACCCCTCCGTTGGTCTCAAATTTTGTTTATTGGATTATTGTCTAGGCGGTGGCTATTCTTCCTATTTCCAAAGGTCCTTCCTACATACCATTATGGGTACCAGATTTTCTGCAGGTTATGGTAAAAATCCTCATGGCTGCTAGGATGCGGTACTCATCATCAAGAACAAGGCAGTGTCAATCACCCCATTGCATCAGCCATCTCTTGCCTTTTTTGACCGCACCCTGCAGAAAACACTTTGGGTCTGGTAGCAGAAGACTCAGTTAAGAGAGAGCTTCAAAACAGCAACAAAGTTGGGGATTTAATTTGTACCAACCATATGGAGAAAACACATCAGAAACTTCAGCACGACATAATTGTGCTCAGGAAGCCTGTGTACAATTTCTTTGCATCTGGTCACTCGCAAGCTGCTTTCCACACCTATGAGAAAAGACAAGGGATTAACCATTTCATTCAGTGATTCCAGCTAAATCTTCCTCCTGAAGTGGTCTGCTTGGATGAAATCTGTTTCCCAATTCAATGAGGTAGAGATAAATACTCCCTTATGCTAAGTTTGATTCCTCCACGATATATCCATGTAATATTTGGTTCAACGGTAGGGAGGATGAAGCTTAAAAAAGACAGGATCAGCAAAATCTGAAGACCTAAACATATAAGAAAGACTACTGGAAAATAATACCATACTACATCACCTAACTGAAGAAGATGCACTAAGTATTTTTGTACACACATTCATTAATAGCAAAATATAAGATTAGGAAGCATGCTCAGATATTTCCTCAGTTACTAGGAAGCATGAGTATTACTAAACCAAAAGTTTGCCTGATTGAAACTTCCCCCCTTTTTTATATTGTATAAAGCATAGAGACATGGTGGTTCAGTGGCTAAGACACTGAGCTTGTCGATCAGAAAGGTCAGCAGTTTGGAGGTTCAAATCCCTAGCGCTGTATAACGGAGTGAGCTCCATTACTTGTCCCAGCTTCTGTCAACCTAGCATTTTGAAAGCATGTAAAAATGCAAGTACAAAAATAGGAACCACCTTTGGTGGGAAAGTAACAGTGTTCCGTGCACCTTCAGCATTTAGTCATGCTGGCCACATGACCACGGAGACATCTTCGGACAGCGCTGGCTCTTCGGTTTGAAATGGAGATGAGCACCACCCGCTACATGAGCTTCAGTTATGGGTGTGGCTGCCATCTTGACTTTTTTGACCCCGACACTCCTTTGTTCCCAAACTCTTATTTATTTCTATTACTAAATGTCTCAGCCCTGCTCATCTTTTTTTAAATCAGCCAAGATCCATTCGGCCCTACTACAAGAAAGATAGTTCCTCTAGAAATGATCCTTTCTGTGGCCACACAATTTCTTCTGCCTAAGTCTGGACTTATAGCCTAAACAATGACACTTCAGCTTTCCACTTTTGGTATTTAGCAAAATCCTACTCAGATGAGCAGGGAATGCTGCTATTTTCCTTGAGCTCCACGCCCATACTGAAAACCTTCATCTTCTCCCAAGTCCTCACGTGTTCCACACACAACATAAAAAGTGAGTTTCTTGTTTTTCTTCCTTCCAAGCAATTCCAGAATTCAAAACCCATGTTTCTTTCTTCCACCCTTTCAACAATCATGGAATTGTTGCTGTTCTTTTTAACAGACCAAGATGTGGTAGGCTTTTACATTGTGTATCCATAATGACCGTCTCTCTCTCTCTCTCTCTCTCTCTCTCTCTCTCTCTGGGATCTTCTGCTCCCATCTTGCCGCTTCAACTTCACACCAGGGGTGGGTTTCAAATTTTTTTACTACTGGTTCGGTGGGCATGGCTAGATGGGGGCATGTGACTGAGTGGGCGTGGCCCACTTGACATCACTCACGCACACACACCCTCACCAAGCCATGCCCACCAAAACAGTGGTGAAAAGTTTTGACGGGGGGGGGGAGGCTTCAGCCTCGCCGGAGTATGGGAGCACCTGCAAACTACCCAGTAAGAAAAAAAGTTTTTGTCTTCCCCAGCCCCCAGAAGCACTCTGCAAGCTTCAGCAGGGCTGGGGGAAGAGAAAAACGCCTCCGTTTTTGCAAAACATAGGTGGAAAATGGGCCATTTTCTGCAAAAACTGGGGAAATTTTCCCTCCCCCCAGCCCTGCTGAAGTCTGCAGAGTGCTTCTGGAGGCTGGGGAAGGGCAAAAATGCCTGTTTTTTGTGAAAAACAGCCCATCTCTGTGACCTCTCCGGGACTGCCATGCGCACACCGTTAAAAAAGAGGGAAAATTACATTTTTTTCAATGAAGATTGTTCTGCGCATATGCAGACCAGAAAATAAAGATGGCAGAATAGAACCAGTTCGGTCATGTGTCCGGCCAAATTACTACCTATCACACCCAACCCAATTTCAGTTGTCCCTTTTCAAAATTCCAGAAGATGTGACTGAGGAGCAGGACCAAAGATATCTCTGTGTCTTGGCCAATCAAGCCTTGTAGGCTTCGCACAGGTCTCATGGGGCTCAGAGCAGGGGTGGGATTCAGCCAGTTTGCACCACTTCAGGAGAACCGGTTGGTAACTTTCTGAGCAGTTTGATGAACTGGTTGTTGGAAGAAATCATTAGGGCAAAGGACCGGTTGTTAAATTATTTCAATCCCACCCCTGGCTCAGAGAAATACAAGCAATAAACACTCTGAAAAATCTGATATTAAGGTGAAAGCCAGTTTTCAGCCCACACAGTTAGAGAGGGTGCATCACGACACATTCATCTCCTTTGCAGAGATCTACATCGCTAAGAACTGTCTAACTTCACCGTGTTTTACTATTCAGAAAATATGTGGTTGCCACTCGAAGGTACAGATGAGTCAAAGCCATATATTTGTGGAAAGTGACTCACTAGTGATTTGAACGATCTGATCATACATCGGGAAGGTCAGTAAAGGTTCAGGAAGTTCTCGGAGAAAAGCCTTCAGGATTACTCCAGGGATGTGAATATCGCCATATTCATCAAAATCAACAGATTTTCCTGCAACAGAAAATGCCAAAGAATACAAATAAAAAATTGTAAATAAGAGGATTTAATTCAAACACCTTTCATACTCTTTCCTGGGTCAGGAGTCCCTCCATAGTCACTCAAAGCCCGGTCATCTCACCCTTGTACTACTGCAATGCATTCTACATGGGGCTACCCTTGAAGAACTTTTAGAAGCTTCAACTGATCCAGAGTGCAGCAGCATGGACAATCTTTGGTGCCTCTAGAGTAGCCCATGTTACATTACTCTTCCTTGAGTTGCACTCATTGCTGGTTTGCTCCTGAATGCAATTTCAGGTGTTGTTTATTACTTACTAGCTGATAACCCACTACCGCCCAGGTATTTATTTATCCCAACCCTCCTTCCATGAACGTCCATGATTTGTAATGTTGGATTTTTCCCTATGCTAGAGGGAGCCCCCTTGTGGAGTAGTGTGAAGTTGTTACTATGGCAACTCCACAGAACTGTAAAGTAGAAGCCATTTTAAGGCAGTATGGTAGAAGCCATTTTAAGGCACAACAGGCTGTATCCTAACAGAACATACATCCTGAGGGGTGTAGGGGTGTCTTACCCCCACAGTATTTGTTTCCAGAGAGTAAGTAATCTATGTACCAAGTTTGATTGAAATTGCTCTCTCTCTCTCTCTCTCTCTCTCTCTCNCTGAGCCGGTGAGATTTGAACAGCCGAACTGCAGAACTGCAGTCAGCTGAAGTAGCCTGCAGTGCTGCATTTAACCACTGCGCCACCTCGGCTCCATTAGAGAAAAGTATCTTTTCTCTAATTATTTGGAGTTGGGGGGGTGTCTTTCTTGGATATTGAGTGAGGCAAGTCTGACACTATCCCCAAATCCCAACTTCCTAACCCAAGCCGGGACCTAAAATACACCCAAGAAAAATGATGATGATGATGATGCTCCTGCCAAAAAAACATCTTGAACATCGACTCATCAGGATTTTTGTTGATCTTGAAGGCTAGAAGGCCTCTGGCTGACTTTGGGCCATTAAGTTTCTCCCAGCCAAATCAAGTCCTCAAGGTTATTATCAGGTTAAAATGAGGGAGTGCCTCTATGTGTTAAAACAAGGTCAAAATCTATCTAAACAGATAGGAAGCGATATAGAGAGACATAATTGAGTTTGGCTGAAATATGAATCCGGCCACTCGGGATTAGTTCCATGACCGCTGCGGTTGAGCCCCCAACTCATATTTAGAAGCTCCAATATAAGGAAAGCTTATAAGTTTGCTTCAGATAGAAAACACAGGACATTTATTCCTTCTCTGATCATTCTTTCACCATTATAGCTCACTGCATAGCTCACTGCAAAGGAGAAATGACACTATCGGTAGCTATTAATAACTTGGACAGGCAGAAAATGTCAGCTTGTATTAGTAGGCATTGCTGTGCAAGAATGAAGCATCTCTGGACCATGCTTTAAGTGTTACAAGGAATTCCTTTGTCTGGCCTGGAAGCTATATTTTGCACTGGGTCTTCCAGCCTGCCACCTTCAATGCTGTGGGAAAATGGGAGGGGGGATTCTATGGCGTATGGGAGATATATAGTTATAATAACATTCCTTTCTCAAAGAGTCAAGGACATCTTGCCCTGCACCCGGTAGGACGTGACTAGAAGGCATCTCCAGTTGGGACGGTGCTTGATAATACCATGATAAATTTCCCAACAAGCCAAAGGGGGGGGCTTGTTGGGGTGGGGGAGAGGTGGTTAGTTATGCTTATGTTAACCCCCACATTACTCTCTTTTCAGGATAAGCTTTTCTTCTGAGGAGAGGCCACCTGTCAGGCCTGCAGCCATCTTTTCAGGGGGCGGGAGCAGGAAAAAGGCCTCATGGCTCTTCAAAAGCACAGCGGAGGAGGGGGGGGCAGCTCAGGTGCTCCGAGCAGAGGGGGAGGCGCCGCTGCCACGGGCGGAGGTGCTGGTGGGAGCTTTGGCGGCTTCACCTCAGCTGCAGCACTGGCCGGCAAATCCGGCAGTGCTGTTGGAGGAGGAGGAGGCAGCAGCAGTTTTCTGGTGGCAGCGGGGGCTTTGGCAGCTTCACTTCAGCCGCAGCACCGGGCGCAAGTGGCTAGGACTGGCCGCCCACAAAGGACCTCCCCGGGCTTGCTTTGCTGAACACAGGGCAACTGATGGTAGTTTGAGTGGCGCAGCCGGCGCCTAGGAGGTCCTAGGAGACTGGCCGTGCTGCGTAATCTCCTGCCCCCATCCACCCCGCCCCCCGCACCCATGCTAACCCTAACCAGGACAGCTGAAGGCCCTCAGCTTCCGGAGCCTGTGACATTAGAAATCACTGTGCAGCAGTTGGAAACTGCTGCGTGGTGTTTTCTTGCCACGTGCGCGGCCGCGCAGCCACACATCTTAGAGGGAACATTGATTGTTGGGTGAAAAAGAAAATTTGAGTGTTTTTTTCTAGAGAACTCCACCTTATCACAAGCAAAATCAAGATGGGGTTAGTGTGAGTTCTTTTGATTCCCTTTTCCTCAGGATTACTGTATTTTTCGGAGTATAACACCATATTTTTTGGAGTATAAGACGCAGTGGAGTATAAGATGCACCAAGATTTTGAAGAGGCAAATTTTTTAAAAANACACACATACATACACACACACACACACATTTATACATCTATACATATGTCTGTCAACATCAAAAACAATCTCTCTCTCTCTCTCTCTCTCTCTCTCTCTCTCTTATCATCCATCCATCCATCCATCATGTCTCTCTCTCTCTCCCATCCATCCTCTTATATTGTCTAACTATCCCTCCCTCCCTCCCTCCATCATCCATCCATCCACCTACTTATCTACCATATCTATCCATCCATCTATCCACCTACCTACCATATCTATCCACCCACCCACCCATTTTACTTATTTTGATGTTATAAGTCTCCCACAGTCACCTTGCAATGAGGTGGGCAGTTCTCCATTTTCCTTACCTACCCAACTACCCATCTACTTCATAACCTCAAAACCCTTCTTGCTACAGCTATAATCCAAACATTATTTCCATTTTTCCATTGGCTGTAATCTGGCTCAAATGCATATCTTTTCCACGTAAGAGAGTTTGTGAAGTTTATCAAAAACTATATTTATTTTTTCCCCAACATAATTTGATTTTATATCAGATAAGAGATAGAATAATCTTATACTGCATATTCTCTCCCCCGCCCCTTATTGTGGTGATAATGGTATGTTATTATCTAGCAGCAAGATATTTGCACTATAAAAACATTTCATAAAATGACTCCAGTGCATTTCACAAATGATTTCTTTTGACATCGTATCTACAAAAAAAGAGTAAAAAATAAATAAATAGCAAAAAGCAGAGGAGGTGATATTGCTGTTTAGAGAAAATCAAGTTATGCGGGATTCTCAATTTGTCATTTCATAGCTGTTATGAAACCATCAATCTAAACTGGTCACGACTCATTGTACAAACTGCTTTAAATGCTGGTCCTACCTTCTTCCTTCTTGATTTAAGGTTAAGGTGGCATCTCTCCAATCTATTAAAGATCTAGTGTGGAGTGGGGACCAATTTGAACTGGTTAAATTAAAAAGAAAAGTATCTTGCTAGTATATATTTCGTGTATTAACTAACTGGGGAGAATCAGTATATCCTTTTCTCATAAAAATAAAAGGTGGCATTTGTTTAATCAATCATATATCTAATATATGATTAGCTATATGATTCATTCTATCTAAATATATATTAGATATACTATATCTTGATCACAACCACGATCACTCCATGTACATGGGGAAACATATGACTAGTTTTTCTTTCTGTTTCCTAATTACTTGCATAGGGATTATTCTTTATACTATTTATGTTGTTTATGTTTTTTGTCATAAAGTGCACCAGTGAGGCTAAAACCAATTTCATTGCATACATGATGTACAATGACAATAAAGGCTATACTATACTAATATTTTCTTTTATTAGGAAAGACCAGTAACATGCACGAGAGAGATTGAAAGACCCGTGTTCATCCGTGAGCAACATAAATAAATCAAGGAAAGGAGACTGCTTGAATCAAGAGGGCAGAAATTGTGTTCCTGAGGTGGCATTTAATTGCTGCTATTCCCAGCACCAAATATTCACAAGCCCAAACTGGGAGTTTTGGTTGCATTTTTGATGCTCTGGATAAGTTTTAAGAAGGTGAAACGTTTTTCCTTATGCTTTGCAGAAGTCATCTTGACTTTATAACCCCTCCTCTGGGACAGCTCACCAGAGCCAACACACCACAGTCAACTTACTGTGGCCAACTCACGATTGACCAACTCGCTGCAGCCAATTCGCTACGGCACAATTTGCCACAGAACAAGAGTTACACTAATATTGCGTATCCCAAAGGAGGGACAAATTGAAATGCGAATGACAAAAATTAAAAGAACTTTAAAAACCATTTTAAATCATTAAACTGAATTGTTGCATTGTCCCATGGAGAGTTGGCTATGGCAAGTTGGCTGTGGCGAGTTGCCTCTCATAGCTGCACCTGCTCAGGTGTGCACACATTTTTCTCTTTGAACGTTCGACCACTTTCCCACCCATTAACAGATGCCCTTACTCCTCCCCTATCTAATATGGTATTTCACTTTTAAAGGGTTTTGTGATTAATCAAACAACTAATGAAAATGAGTCTTTACTTCTTGCTAATAAAAGGGCCAGGGACTCAGGTAGCTCAGTGGCTAAGACACTGAGCTTGTCAATCAGAAAGGAAGGCAGTTTGGCGGTTCGAATCCCTAGTACCGCATAATGGAGTGAGCTCCCGTTACTCGTCCCAGCTTCTGCCAACCTAACAGTTCCTAAAGCATGTAAAAATGCAAGTAGAAAAATAGGAACCACCTTTGGTGGGAAGGTAACAGTGTTCCATGCGCCTTAGGCATTGAGTCATGCCGGCCACATGACCACGGAGACGTCTTCGGACCATGCTAGCTCTTCAGCTTTGAAACAGAGATGAGCACCGCCCCCTAGTCGGGAACAACTAGCATATAAGTGCGAGGGGAACCTTTACCTTAATAAAAGGGCCGCTTACCTTGATTGTAAAGTTTTTGAATCTCTTGAATAGTTTTGATGCCCGATGATCTTCGAAACAGTCCTTCTGTTTTCAGCCCTTGAAGAGGGAAGGATTAAAGTTACTTTTTGCCACTATTGTTCATTCCAGATTAAATCCTTAGTATTCTTGTGAATAGAAGTGTCATTTTTTCCAATACAGGTTCATATTAGCAAATTGTTTCATTTTTTTTCATCAGAAATCAGCTGAAAGTAATTTTTTTCTACTTTTGCTGTATCGTTGCGATTGTTTAGTGTTTTATAAAGTCTCTGCAAGCAAAGTGTGGTCATCCCAGGCTAGTTTTCTTGCATAACCAAAGCATTTATGCTGAGGCATTTACTCAAGCACAGTAAGCATCAGTAGAAATCTAAGATCCAATTTGCATCTCCTGTTTTATGAGCTGGAAAGGACTGAAAAATGACTCTGTTGCAGTGATGGCAAACCTTTTCGGCACCGAGCGCCCAAACCGGAACGTCCGTGCATTCACATGCATTTGCATGCACTGGAGTGCTGGAAACCCAAAGACCACCTGGCCAGCACATGCATGCCTATTTTTGGCTGGTTTGGCCATTTTTAGGCTGTTTTTCCGAGCTGTATTCCGAGCCATTTTTCAGGCTGATTTTTGGGCTGTTTCCGGGCCTTTTTAGGCCATTTTTCAGGCTGGTTTTCTAGGTTGTTTTCAGGCAATTTGCCGAGATAAAAATGGTCTGAAAAATGACCCCCCAAAATGGCCTGAAAATGGCCCAAGAATGGTCTGAAAACAGCTCTAAAATTGGTCTGAAAATGGCCTGAAAACATTTTTGGCTTTTTTGGGTCATTTTCAGGCCATTTTCTGGTGCTCTGGTGCCCACGAAGACCAATTGGAAATGGTGCACGTGCCCACAGAGAGGGCTCTGCATGCCATGTCTGGAACATGTGCCATAGGTTTGCCATCACAGCTCGATGGCTTTGCCTGGTTGTATGTGATGCTGGGCGCACAGAAAAAGCAACAGGCTCACAAAGACAATTGGTAGTTGGTTTCAAAGAGTGAGAAAAACGTTGGTCACCACTTTATGGGGGAGTGTAAAATTCCTCAACCTTGGCAGCTTGAAGACGTGTGGAATTCAGGGAGATGAAGTCCACACACCTTCGATTTATTTGTTAAATTGTAATACAACTGCCAAACTACAGGCAGTCAGCTGAAGTAGCCTTCTAACCACAAAGCCATCACAGCTCTTATTTATTATTTTTCTGTTCAAAGTGCCACAGTTTAAATGTGTCTTCAAATTTTGCATCCATTAAATCATTCATTTAAAAAAAAATCTGTTCACTGTTAGATATGTTCAGGTTCTGAATTGTATTTCATTAATAGAATACATGTTACCTACTAAAAGACTGTATTACTAATATTATTCTCTTCCTTCCTAGTACCTATCTCGTCCCACTTATGACTATAATCATGTTGCTTGTATCTTTAAATTTTATATTGTTTTATTCCCTAGTATAGTATAATTTGATTACTTATTACCTATGACTATCACTGTTGTATCTTCTGATTCTTGATGAATGTATTCCCACTATAACCATGTTGCTTGTATCTTTACAATTTATATTGTTTTACTTAGTCTTCTAGTATGATTTGATTGCTTATTGAGTATCCTATGACTATCACTGTGTTCTATCTTATGATTCTTGATTAATGTATTCTATTTTATTTTTCTTATGTACACTGAGAGCCTATGCACCAAAGACAAATCCCTTGTGTGCCCAATCACACTTGGCTAATAAAGAATTCTATTCTATTCTATTCTATTCTATTCCATTCCAATTTCAGTTCCATTCTATTCTATTCCTTTCTCTTCTCTCTTCTCTTCTCTTCTCTTCTCTTCTCT